AGCCACCCCGGTGCCCCTTCCTCATTCCTTTCTGACATGTTTTTTCCAACCCCATTCACACAGCTTCCTTTTTGTCTCTCACTGTCACTTCTGCCCACCAGACACTCCTTCCCCCTCACATCAGTATACTTTCTCCCTCCCACCCCAAGATGGGCTTGCAGGCCCTCATCAAAGTTGGGGGATCAGGAGAATGGACGGCCCTAATAGGTGAAGTCCCATCTGCGGGAGCCAAACACACATCCTCCCAATAAATTTTCTCAGCAGTTACTTCCCAGTGGTACAGCAGGCAACACCAGCACAGCCCCGGAAGCAAAAGTGTCCCTTTCTCTGCTGTGCCATGTGAGCCCAGCCCTGCTCGCCACAGCCCTGCCTGGAGGCTCCTCATGGGAATCCCACCAGATGCCAGCCTGAGCCCTCCACAGCTGCCACACAGCACGCTCATAGAACTATTTTTTCATGTTTATTCATTTTTGAGAGAGAGGGAGCAAAGGGGAAGAAGGGCAGAGAGAGAGGTGAACAGAGGATCTGAAGTAGGTACTGCACCAACAGCAGAGAGCCTGATGTGGGGCTCGAACTCACAAACCCTGAGATCATGACCTGAGCAGGTGTCTGTAGCTTAACCAACTGAGCCACTCAGGTGCCCCCCTTACAGATTTTTTTAGTAAACTTTAGATTTTTAAAACACAGTAAATCTTGGAATGACAGGAATTTAGGGAGTGAGGGCATTCCTAGAGAAAAGAATATCAGAAAAAAAGGGGGCAGAGGCATGAAGTAGGAAGTAAGGTGCAGGCATTCAGCATGGGAAGAGAGAAATGTGGGGAGCCTCAGAAAAAGTCTCAAAAGGGCCCTGAGAAAAGGTGTAACTTAAGCCTACTTGCAAAGATCAGGAATGAATGCAGTAAGATTTTGATGATGGAGATGAAATCCTGCAGCAAGGGAATTCTACTTTTCAATTCCTGTTCATAACATTAAACCTCTCTTTGTGTTTTGTTCTTAGGGCAGTCAAGGCCTTTCTGGATTAATGGGCCCCCCTGGTATGCAAGGTGATAAGGTAAGATGTAGTTTTACTTTGACATAATCCTTGTCATCTGGGTCTGGGAGCTCTTCAAGTCTTAAAATCTCATTTTGAAGTGGAGCCCAAAGTCAATGTTTTAAATTCCTTTTCTCAGCAAAAAGAATTAGGATGCTCTCCTAATCCAGGAGAGTGTTGCCCACAAAAGGCAATGCCCTATGAAAACTAAAACCCGTCAGTTAATGAAGGGAACAAAATTCACATGCAGGGATAAGTCAAAGTCACTGACAGAATGTTGAAGCTTGTCTTTTCTTCTTCTTTTTTATAAAAGGGCAATAACCTACTTCCGAAAGTTTGAAATCATTTTTTAACTTTTATTTGTTCAAAGCGAGGTATACTTGGTTATAGGTAATACTTTTGACTTTTTTTAAAAGGGTTCTCATTGTATTAAGAAATACTAATGCGAGCCTGGGTAAAGCGCCTTGGTCGGTTAAGCGTCGACTTCAATGAGCAGGTCCTGCGATCACCACCATGCGCGTTCTGTGAGTTCGAGGCCAGCGTCAGGCTCAGGCTGGTGGCTCGAGCCTGGAGCTATTTCGATTCTGTGTCTCCCTCTCTCTGCCCCTCCCCGTTCATACTCTGTCTCTCTCTCTGTCCCAAAAATAAATAAACGTTTGAAAAAAAAAAAAATTAAAAGAAATACTAATCACTGCCATGATATATATATATATATATATATATATATCCTACACATACACATGCCATATATATATGTATACACACACACACACATACACACACACACACACACATACATACATATGAGGCCTGAAGAATAGGGCAGAAGTCAGGATTGGGAATAGCAGGTAAAAAACAATAGCGATATGTATTCGGCAACACATATTTTTCTGAGTTGAAAAGGAATCTAATACAGCTGCTAGAATTATTTCATAAAATATGTTGTTCCATTTCCTGCTTCTCCTCTATATGTTCAGCTTGTTTTTCTTTTTCACCCAAACACTGACTTGTTGACTTTCTACAGGGAAAAGGAAGATACAAAATATCTAAGTATTAAAGGCCCCAAAATATTGAAGAGCAGTATTTGACTTGATATGGATATCTAAATACATATAATAATGAGCTGTGTCGATGTCTCTTGTATGTCTTATACCCTTTCTCTTGGGACATTTTGGTTGGAAGTGGTATTCAGGCTCTGGTTACTTGATTCAAATCCCATCTGCCATTTTCTAGGTCCCAATGACTTTGGGTAGAGTATTTAACCTCTCTATGTTTCAGTTCCCTCATTTGTAAAATGTGAGGATAATACTACCCACTTTATAGGTAGTCATTGGGAACAAGAAGTGAGATAATCCATGCAATAGAGTGTCAGACAAATTGCAAGCCCTAACAAATATTAACCATCAGCTGTTTATCTGGTTTCGTAAATATAACCTTGTTTGCTTTCCCTTATAACTCCTGCTAAAGAGCTGAATTTTAAAATGATGAAAAAGATTTTGATCTCATGGAGTATTTTCCCTCCCATGCCCACACTACCATTATTTTTATGGCCTTCAAACTAATTTTCATCTGAAACAGTACTTAGACTCTGATCACTTCTTTGATTGTAGTTGCTCCCATGGAGACAGAGACTGGAGAGTGATCATTTCTAACAGAATTGGTCTTGATATATAGTCACAAACCTGTTCAATTAATGCCACTCAGTGTACCTCTAACCACTAAATAAACCTCTGAAGATACTGTACTGACGAATAGCATCAAAGATCTCATAATATGGAAATTATTTTAATTATTTTATCTGATATTAAATATACAATATTTCACCCTAAAGAATGATACTACATATGACGAAAAACCGAATCATTACTTTCTGAAGTTAAATGATGCCTGTGGTTTGGGAAATTAATTAGCAGTTCAGGAAAGGGAACTCTAAGTAATATTGGAGTGGTTATTGTGTAGAGGACTATGCATAGAAATATCTATAGAGACAAATTTTAAAAAGTTGATTGTAACCATTATACCACATTATCATTTTAACTTTGGAATTGTGCTTACTTAAAGCAGAAGATATGGCTTTCAAAGACCTGTGCATATATTATATATGTCTTGGCTTACCAGCATTTTAAAATCTTAAGATTAATATATTCTTTTTGATCTGTATAGGTCTAGTAAAGTGAAATACAGCATTATTTTAAACAAACTGGGCTACAGATTATCCTTCAGAGACTTCCTTTCCTCTTATATGATTTTTTAAACTTTTAAAATCTGCCTTTTTTTGGTTAAAGCTGATCATATAGAAGCCAGTGGTCAGATAGCGGCGGTAGCTGAATTTTCTCTAGAGAAAGTTTTGTTGAAAATATTAGAAACAGTGGTGCTGGGTGGCTCAGTTAGTAAAGCATCTGAGTATGGCTCACGTCATGATCTCATGGGTTCGTGAGTTCGAACCCCACGTCAGGCTTTGTGCTGACAGGTGGGAGGCTGGAGCCAGCTTCCGATTCTGTGTCTCCATCTCTCTCTGCCCCTCCCCTGCCCACGCTCTGTATCTCTGTCTCTCTCTCTCAAAAATAAAGAAACATTAAAAAAAATAAATTTATTTCTGAAAAATGAAATATTCATGGTTCACTATGATTTGACAGTAGTTTAGAAAAGTGTTAAAACATTTGAGATGATTTTGTAGTTTTTCTGAGAATTTTTGAGTGTGGCTATTAATAGAAACTATATACAAATTAAAAAAAAAACAAACAAGTATTTCTAGGGAAAGGACATAAGGATTCAATCTAAACCTAAATTGATTCTTCACATATCAGGCTTGGGACAAGTTTCTATCACACTATGTGCATGTCTTGTTTTAATATGAATATACAGTAGAAGTATATTCAAAATGAGCTTGATAGACTGTTCCTATGGCCTGTATAGAAGGGAGAAGGGCAAGACCAATTAGTGGATAAAATGCTCAGTTAACTGTGAGCTGCTTTTATGGAATTTACTAGTTTTGGTTCATGTTTTGAACCACCTAGGTCACTCTAGGTTACTTTCTTGCAAACTGGATCCATGCTAGGACAACCTAGAAAAGTAGCTCGTGTTAGCTCTAACCTGGGATTCCTGTTTCTTTCATCCTTGCAATTCCACCCATGATGTTAGTGCTACGTGAATTCTTAAGGTCCAGGTAAGAACTTAAATTATTCACTTTGTAAGTGAGAAATCTAAGGTAAGCCCAGAGAGGTTAAGGGAATTGTTCATTGTCACTCAGAATTATGGAAGGATGGAGAGATAAAACTTACTGCTACAGGATCAACTGTGCTTTTAACTATTCTTTGCATATCATGAGAGATGAGCAAAGTATTTGGGTTTTGTTTAATATAAAGTTTATTACATCCTTTTATCTTTAAACTATTTTATAAAGTATCATTATAACTATTACTACTGATATATTATGTGCCATATCCCAGTCACTCTGCTGAGCCCTATTTCTTTTCATTTTAAAAACAACTCATTGAGGGGTGCCTGTGTGGCCAGTTGGTTAAGCATCTGACTTGTGATTTTGGCTCAGGTTATGATCTCATGGTCATGAGAAGGAGCCCCACGTCAGTCTCTGCACTGAGCATGAAGCCTGCTTAAGATTCTCTCTCTTTCTCCCTCTGCCCCTCTCCTGAGCTCTCTCTCCAAAGTAAACAAACCAAAAAACAAAAACAACTCATTAAGCCAGACAGTATGTTCACTATGTCATAAATAAGTTAATTGAAGTATAAAACGGTTAAATCACTTACCCAAGACCACACTACTATTAATTGGCTGAGTTAGGACTCAAATCCAGGCCTGTTTGACACATGACTGCTCTTAATAGCTTCAAATACTGCTTCTCCATTAATTAATTCGTTTGTTAAATCAGTATTTGTAGGATGTGTATTTAGTACTGCTGACTGTTCCTGGCATGTGTACAAGAGGAAGTAAAATTTTGCTTTTCATGAAAGCCAAGGGAACAGATATAGTTTTGGATGACAGATAATAATGACTTCATTATTCCTTTTCTCTGAAAGTATCTGGAAATATTAAAATTATTCTAATATAAGTCGTACTCAAGTAATTTTGAAAATGGCTGCAAGAAAGTTGTGTTGAGAACACTCAACAGCTCATGAAAACTGTTGAGATTAATAAACAGAAGGTTGCTATTAAAAACATTCTGAACATAAGTAATATTGAGAGAAATAACAAAGTGAATGAATTAGCAGCATTGCTGTCTTTTTCCACCTTTCAGTAGATTTTTTAGTTTGCTTCTTTCTTTTTCATTTTTTATCTCTCTCCTCCCAATTTTTTTTTAAACCAGTATCAACATCTTAACAAGCAATGTGTTTCCCCAAATTGACTGGTTACATTGCCTCAACTTAGCCACCTTCATGTAATTTTTATTTTCCTAGGAACTAAAGTATGTTTTTACTTCCCACTCAGTGTCTAAATTTGTGCCAAAAGGCAGATAAGTTGGATCCAGAGTGTATGCTGTGTTGGATGGAAGACAAGAGTCATAATTCTGAGCTTGGACTCCAGATGGATTTAAAATTGTTTTTTAATATAGCAATCAGTTGCTATATTAATGTTGGAAGTCTGCTATTTAAAATTGTAAGAACATTGACAGTGATTTCAATTGGAACACTTTTTGTAGGATCAAGAGGATGAACCAGATGGGAGCAGTTAAGCACATCTTAGCATAAAGGCATATAGCTCACAGCAATGGTGAAATATGAGCACACATTTTAATACAGATTTTTATGAACAGTGTTTGGCAGTATTTTTCTGAATATCAAAAATACTAATTACTATGGTTTTTTAGTGATAATTGTAAATCAGTGCAAATTCTTAATTGTGTTTTGATGGAATTATTTCAATTACTTAAAAAGTTTTCCATTACATATGAGGAACACAGTAAATATCTTTATAAAGTTGGAAAGGAAAAAAGAAGTGAAGCATCAAGTGGAATGCATTGTGAATTATTAGTCACTCAAAAACTAGACAGCTTTTCATAATCT